AGAGAGTTGTATGAAAGCAATGCATGTCCAAAAGCATCTGCAATCTGTTGGAAGGAATGAGAAACTGCTACTGTGATGTGCACAAAGGACTAATTGTTTTGAGAACTGCATTAACTGTCGTGCAAATGTAAATAGTGTTGTGAGAAATGCACCAAAGACACTGAGAAAAACTGTAATCTATTATCCATCCATCCATCTTTCTATCCATCTATCCGATCATCCATCCATTTATCCATCCATCTATTCGTCTATCAACCGTCCATCTCCCTATCATCCATCCATGATCTGACCATCTATCACTGATTTATCCATCTGTTCATTCATACATATATCATCCATATATTCATCTATCATCCACCCATCATCATAGTTTGTTTTTCCTGGCCAAGGAAAAATATTCATTGCACAGCAACCAATCAACATAATTAAATATGTATATATGAGTGAATTTGGTTTCCTATATCGGAACATAAGGAGCACTCTAAAACACATGGGGTTATTTTTTCTACCCAAATCTTGGGTTGAGGCATTTTGGGTTATATTGGGGGGTTATTTTCAGAGTCTTGGGTAGTTTCAACCCAGGTTTTTGAGTCAAATCAACTCACAGCAGTGGCTGACTGGAATACCACATATTATACACTAGTTTGTTCAATCACAGTGAAAATAGTGTAACATAAACGCAGATTCCTTGCATTTACAGATGATTAAAATGAGATTTATGCTCATAGCAGCCCTTAGTCAGACCTTTCTGAATTTTAAAATTTCTTACTACCACGTTTTGCATACCTGCGATCACAGCTAAACATCCATCAAGCCAAAACAGCACAATTGTCTTAACCCTTCTGGCTAGGCGATTAATTCTTCTGAACTGGAAGAGCCCACACCCTCCTTCTCACTCTTGTTGGATAAGAAATGTTCTTTATTTTATGAAATTAGAAAAAATTAGGCACTCTCTTCACCGAACTAGCACTATTTTTATTAATTTGTGGGAACCCCTTCGCAAATATGTCCAAACTCTTCAGCTTGACCCTGCTCCTTCTGATTGAGTCCCTACCCCCTAATGCCCAGCTTTTATGGGAAGACACTTCTGGTCAACACATTGTAGACTTGTTTTTTATGTATATAAGATTGCACTAGTGTTATTGTTTTTTTGTTTTATTTATCTATTTATTTTTAATTATCTTATTTTTATTCATTATTGTTTATTTATTTTTATTATTACCATTTGCTCAAAATACTCTTCAGTGTATTTGCTTATTGTTACATGTTTATGTCTTTGTAAATTTTTGTAATTTTTCACAATGTATAAATAAAAAATAAATGAATAAAAAAACAGCACAATTGCTGGGTCATGTTTTGCGGGCATTTTTGGATCGAATTAACCTATTATTTAAGTAAAAATAACCAATTATTGGGTAGAAAAAACAACCCATTTATGGGGTTAAAAATAATAACCCAATTACTTGGGTAAATTTAACCCCCGATGTGTTCTGCCCCATATTTACCCAGCAGTAGGGTTAAAAACAACCCAATTTGGGTAATTTTTAAAAGGGTAAAATATATCTTGAATTCTTTAAAATGTAGATATTTAAAAATACATTTTTAAAAAATAGAAAATAGATTGAGTTAAATATATTTATCAAATATCATTTTGTCTAAATATATTTGAAAATATATATGTTTTTTGCCGTATGTGCCAGAATGGCGAGTCGGCGCGTTTATATAATCAATGAAATCTGCTGACCGCTTCAAAACACATGTAACATATTTCAGCGGTGACGCTCAGATTAGTGCCCGTCTTTAAACTTCTGCCGGCATCTAGATGCTTCACCAAATCAAATCTGTTAATACACAAGCCAAAGCCCGGACTGGCCTACATGTAGTAAAACTCCATCTGTGCAAGTGGCAGTGGAGAAACGCAGCACACATTCAGCTCCTACAAAGCAATATGCTGCCAATTAGATCTGTGTTTTTAATGCGATCCGCAATATGAATGTGATTGCAGAGACACTGAGCATATGTGCCATAAAAATGAATCGATGTTGCATTGAAAGCAATCAGATGATGTAATCAGCGCTTAGTTGCTTCACGTAGCAAATGAGATCAAATCTGTGTATCGTAGGCTGGGATACAGTCGTAAATTAAGATTATAGGTGTGTGTTTTACAAAGAAAGCACTTTCAGATTTTCTGTGCAATTGCATGTTTAATTTGATGTGTTGATTGATGTTTCTTTGTAATCATCTGTGATATTTGTTATATTTTAATACAGTTTTGCCCCATGTTTTATCTTTTTTTGCTGATTTATATTTAATTATTTAGTCAAATATGGACCATCTCAATTATTTAATTTGTATTATTTAAATTATTATATTTATTTATGATATTTATGTATTCATTATATGTTTCAATATAGTACTTATTATATTTAAACAAAATTCATGTGTAAAATTAACCTAGAGTATATTTACCAAACCCCTAAATGTGTTTAGATCCTAAAATGACTCTCTTGTTTATAAATAAATAAACATTAATAAATAATAACATTAAATAATAATAGAATAATTTCTTAATCGCCCTCCAGTTCTATAGAGATAAATGCCATTTCATTGAAAAACCTGAATATAATGTTTAGAAAAGTTATTTTATGTAATTATTTATGGAAAAATCCAAGCAATATTTGATTTATGTAATTATTAAAGTTGATTTATGCAATTATTCAAGGTGAAATTCAAGCAAACTTTGATTTTTTTAAATTATTAAAGTTGATTTACGAAATTATTCGTGGCAAATTTCAAACAATATTTAATTTATGTAACTATTAAAGTTGACTTATGTAATTATTGATAGGAAAAATCAAGCAAAATTTGATTTATGTAATTATTAAAGTGTATTTATGCAATTATTTATGGCATTTTTAAAAAAGATTTATTTTTGGCCTTTATTAAGTAGATAGAACAGTATTATAGACAGGAAGTAAAGCGGGAGAGAGACAGGGAGAGAGACAGGGAGCCGGGATTCGAACTCGGGACGCCCTGAAGTGCTACTGCACCATATGTCAGCGACAGTGGCGTAGCTGACGGTCCCACTTTGTGGACCAGTATTAGATTTATTTTATTATTAAAGTCAATTTATGCATTTCTCTATGGCAAATTCAAGCAATATTTGATTATTCATGGCGAAATTCAAGCAAATTTTGATTTATGTAATTATTAAATTTGTTTCATCTAATTTTTAAAGTTGATTTATGTAATTATTCATGGCAAAATTCAAGCAATGTTTGATTTATTTAATTATTAAAACTGATTTATGTAAATTTTTAAGGCAAAATTCAAGCAAAATTTGATTTATGCAAATATTAAAGTTGATTTATGCAATTATTCATGGCAAATTTTAAGCAATATTTATTTTATGTAATTATTAAAGTTGACCCATGCAGTTATTGATAGGAAAAATCAAGCAAATTTTGATTTATGTAATTATTAAAGTGTATTTATGGAATTATTTATGGCAATTTTGTTTTTTAAGATTTAATTTTGGCCCTCATTAATTAGATAGGACAATATTATAGACAGGAAGTGAAGCGGGAGAGAGACTGGGGTTGGCATGGGAAATGTCCTCGAGCCGGGATTCGAACTCGGGACGCCCTGAAGTGCTACTGCACCATATGTCAGCGACAGTGGCGTAGCGGACGGTCCAGTATTGTGGACCAGTATTTGATTTATTTTATTATTAAAGTCAATTTATGCATTTATCTATGGCAAATTCAAGCAATATTTGATTATTCATGGCGAAATTCAAGCAAATTTTGATTTATGTAATTATTAAATTTGTTTCATCTAATTTTTAAAGTTGATTTATGTAATTATTCATGGAAAAATTCAAGCAATGTTTGATTTATTTAATTATTAAAGTTGATTTATGTAATTATTCATGGAAAATTTCAAGCAATATTTAATTTATGTAATTATTAAAGTTGACTTATGTAATTATTCATGGCATATTTCAAGCAGTACTCAATTTATGTAGTTATTAAAGTTGATTTATGCAATTATTCATGGCAAAATTCAAGTAATATTTGATTAATGTAATTATTAAAGTTAATTTATGTAATTTATCTATCTGTATAGTATCCAAAACAATATATTTCTCATGTATTTTTACATTCTTATTTAAATCCATGCACATATTATATAATATCTTACATTACATTACATATTCTTTATAATATCATATATATTATAAATAAGACATAATTACTCCTAAAACTAATATTTGTAAATAAATACATGACTTAAAGAACGAAAACATACAATATTGTTTTATCACAGCTTTATAGACAATCCAAAATCAACAAAACTCACACACTAAAAAGTTGTCCATCCATCAGTGCATCAACACATCAATTTCCAATAATAAACTCACATCGGGCTCATTTATATAATAGATAAATGACTCAGATAATGAGACCTGGCATCTCCATTCTGCAAATAATGTTTTATGTGATGCACGAAACAGCGAATGCCACACAAATCCAAATGAAATTGTAAAAAATGAGAATAAAATCCTTTTAATCCCCATATTTCATTGATTCTCTCATAGACGGCTCACAGCAGGAGATGCTCCACATTCCCGACATTCCTTCAGTGATCATTCCTGAATCCCAGATCTTATCTAACACTCATCTCTGCCTGCAGTTTTAGCAGCAAATATGGATTTGCCCTGTAAACTGATGCCAATGGATTTTCTCTAGTGTTTCACTGCAAGAGCCCTTCAGTTCAGTCTCAATGCAGACACAATGTGGATGAAGGGTGGACAAAGGATGCAGGCACTACATTAGTTTATTTCTGCCTCCTCCTACACCATGTTCTTTAAATAAAACCGTAATAAAGCAGATACACAGCATGCATAGCCTTTGTTTCACTCGAATTCGCCATCTGAATGAATGAGAACCCTTAAAGAATACGTCCAAAAGAAGCTTATTTTAATATATTTCATTTACCTTCCTTCCACAAATGCGGATAGTTGCTCGTAAGACGAGGATATCTGCAGGAAAACAAAAGAAAATAAGGCGAGAGACATCGGGCGCCACGTTGATGCCATGTATACATCCAGATGAGTCTGCCGGAGATGATGCTGAGGACTGCTGCTTCATAATCTGCTGGATGACGGGCGCAGTCTGAGGAGATGATTGACAAGCGCGCAGGCCAATTAGAAGCGCAGTGGGCGGGTTAATCCGGAGACGCGGCCACGCCCATTCGGGGAGTTTGTGCCGCTGACAGTTATACACAAACTAGCAGGAGCTGTGAACCACTGATCTTTTAAACTTAACTAATTAGCCGGATATTAGGAAGATATTTAACGAAAATAAGACAATTGTATTGATTGTGAACGGAAATGGCAAACTGTACTGTACTTTATCTTGTATGTTTTTAACCCACACATTATTTACAGAGAAAGACATGATAAAAATGTAAACGGACAGACAGAAAGACAGACAAGTAGATAGACAGACATACAGATAGATAGATAGATAGATAGATAGATAGATAGATAGATAGATAGATAGATAGATAGATAGATAGATAGATAGATAGATAGATAGATGGATGGATGGATGGATGGATGGATGGATGGATGGATGGATGGATGGATGGATGGATGGATAGATGCATAGATGGATGGATAGATTGATAGATAGAGAGATAGAGAGATAGATAGATAGATAGATAGATAGATAGATAGATAGATAGATAGATAGATGGATGGATGGATGGATGGATGGATGGATGGATGGATGGATGGATGGATGGATGGATGGGTGGGTGGGTGGGTGGATGGATGGATGGATGGATGGATGGATGGATGGATAGATAGATAGATAGATAGATAGATAGATAGATAGATAGATAGATAGATAGATAGATAGATAGATAGATAGATAGATAGATAGATAGATAGATAGATAGATAGATAGATAGATAGATAGACAGACATACGGATGGATGGATGGATGGATGGATGGATGGATGGATGGACGGACGGACGGACGGACGGACGGACGGACGGACGGACGGACGGACGGACGGACGGACAGACAGACAGACAGACAGACAGACAGACAGACAGACAGACAGACAGACAGACAGATAGATAGATAGATAGATAGATAGATAGATAGATAGATAGATAGATAGATAGATAGATAGATAGACAGATAGACAGACAGACAGACATACAGATGGATGGATGGATGGATGGATGGATGGATGGACGGACGGACGGACGGACGGACGGACGGACAGACAGACAGACAGACAGACAGACAGACAGACAGACAGACAGACAGACTGACTGACTGACTGATTGATTGATTGATTGATTCTAAAAACATTGAGTTATTTAACCCAGTCAACAGTCAACTGATTTAACTGACAATGACGCTTTGCTTTATAATGTTCATTCAAGCTATAATGCAAAAATGTTTTTTTTTAATCAAATTACCTCTCCGTGTCGTGTTTTTTTTCATATCCATTTCACCATCCAAGACCATCTTTTATTAAATAGATCAGATGAGTGGTTAAAATGTATTGTACATTGTGGACATAGTTCAGCGTCTTTTTAAAATCTTAAACAAGACTCTTTAACCAGTTACTGGTGATTATTTTTTTACACTGCATGCAATTGGTTTTTATTCATAAGCAAAAATAAGCATTAGCAAGAAAGTTGTTGGTTCAAGCCACGGTTGGGCCTGTTGGCATTTCTGTGTGGAGTTTGCATGTTCTCCCCGTATTGGTGTGGGCTTCCTCCGGGTGCTTCGGTTTCCCCCACAAGTGCAAAAACATGCATAGGTGAAATGGGTAAGCTAAATTGTCTGTAGTGTTTGAATATGAATGAGTGGGTGTTTCCCAGTAATGGGTTTCAGCTGGAAGGGCATCTGCTGTGTTAAACATATGCTGTATAAATTGATAGTTCATTCCTCTGTGGCGACCCCTTATGAATAAAGGGACTAAGCTAAAGGAAAATGAGTGAATGAATATGCTACATGCCAGTCAGCTAAAGTGCTGTCTAATTAAATAGTTTTGATTTGGACGACAGTTAAATAAGCCAGATTATGAAACATATTTATTAAAGTGGCAGTTCTGTCGTTGGAATTCACGAAAATAACAGAAACTCAAATCCTTGTAATCCTTGAGAGATTCAATCAAATGAGCATGATGATTTTGTTTCTGAACAGGCGCTCATTTTGCCCAGCCGCGGGGTCCTTCGAGCAGTCATTTGCGCAGAGCGTCACGTGATCGTTCTTTCCTGTCCGGACTCAGAGCACGCGATCATGGGTACGTGTGAGGCGACAATAAAACTTCATAAAACGCTGTAATATTTGATTTTAGCACACAAATTTGAGTGTTTACGGGTCATTAAGCGGTTAGTCTATCATGTAGCATTCAGTGGAAGTCGCTATGAAGCCTATTTGTAGCTTTTCTATGTTTTTGTCAGAGGCATCGTGGAGCCGCCGCCATGAGCTGCAGATTCAGCCAGACACCTTAAACACCGAGATACACCGAACTTACGCGAAATAAACCTCCATTTAGAGTTGCGTCCTCTAGTATATTGCAATTTTCATGTTCATAGTCGTGACATCTTATTAAATGTGTAGATTTAGATAAGTTTTGTCGGTAAATATTGATGGTTTGCTACCAGGTTATTCAACAGTCACCATATAACGTTAGTATATTTGAATATTTAGTCAATCGTATTAAGAGTTGTATGGTGTTTATTTTTATCATTATACATTATTAATTTAATATATACAAGTTGCGTTTTTATTGCATTAAGAGTTGTGAAATATTTAGCGATCTCTTGTATGCTTGAATCAGATGGGATTTATAACATTTTATTTTTAACACTAAGTTATTTTAAATGGGTTTATTTGCATTGAGTTTTTGCAAAAACCTATGACATGATGAATTGTGTTTTATTCACTTTGAACGAATAAATAAATATAACCATGTTACGGTTTTGTAGTTTTAAGAAATCAAATGTTCAGCAATAACAGACTTCTAATATAACCCAGATTCTTTTAGAATAGGATTAATACTTAATTCTGCTCCAACTTTGTTTTGTATTTTGGTTTATTTACTTGTATTAATTATAATTAGTATTTATACTAATGCATTTAAATTACAATGTTATTTTCCTTTGATATTTTTTAAGTTCAATATTTTTTGTTTTATTTTTATAGAAGATTCAATAAATTCTGTTCTAACTTCTACACAACGCTAAAACATTTCTTAAACTAATTATTTTTAAGCTTTAAGATGATGTTTATATGAAAGCTGTTGTTAAAAATACTTAATTTTCTAATACGTTTTGTCTTTCGCCTGTTTTTTAGGCAAGTGTCGTGGACTGCGTACTGCTAGAAAACTGCGGAACCACCGCCGTGAGCAGAAATGGCATGATAAACAGTACAAGAAGGCCCATTTGGGTACAGCTCTAAAGGCCAACCCCTTCGGTGGAGCTTCTCACGCCAAAGGCATTGTGCTTGAGAAAGTGTAAGAGCTCGTATTGATTAACCTCACAAATATACAAGTAAATTTATGCATCATATTAAAGGGATAGTTTGTGTTAGCGACTATAGTTTTTTTTCCTCTTTCACTAAAAAAATCCCAATTTAATATTTAAATAGATTTTTCCATCCTCTACTTGAAAGTTTATTTTTGCGATCGAATCTTCTGGGCATCTCACCCTTGGGATAAAGTGCAATCAGTGACAAAAAAGCAAGATGACAGGTCCTGTCACTGTAAACAGTGAAAATTTAACACAACTCCAGTGTAATATCATGCATTTTTGTAGAGGGAAGCAAGGTCTGATTAATTGCAAACAAAATGTTTACCAGAATTAAATATCAGTGCTTGAGGTGCCTATTTGTTATTTTTCTAAACATTGTATGTTAGGAAGTCAAATCTGTACTTGCTTGTATTTGCCATATTTTTTTACAATGTAAATGGGCACTGTGTTGTTTGTATTTTACGTTCCGACCGCATCCCTGATCGCTTTCCACCGAGCCCCATTTTTCATAATTTCCCCCCATCGATAATGTAAGCAAGTCAAAATAGTCATTTAATTAGACTTAAAGCCTTCATTTATTTGTTTCATGCATAAAACAAGCGCTGTCGAGAATAAAGCGAGAGCTGAAACTATTGAAAATACTGTGGTAAAATAAAGGTTCATATTTTAAAGACATGGAGTGACAAAAATGGGGTTTAACGCAGTGCTTGTTGTCAAGTGTTAGACAGTTTTACCATCTCAATCAGGAAGTGAAGAATTCAAATTTGCATCGAATGCGCCTAAGTGGGCTTATTCAAACACATTTTGCAGCGCTCTGTTCAGGGTTTGTTGAAAAACAACAGTTTTTATATAACTGATGACACTGTGCCTTTCTTAGGAACGTGTTTTCCTTGCTCACTGCCATGTTTGTGCACATCAAGTGTCAATTTACACATCACTTTAATACTAAATAAATATGCTCTCTTCTGATTTGTTCTTTGTTAGGACAGTGTTTGGCCAAGATGAAAAGATCTTAAATCTGAGAGTAGGGCTGGGCGATTTGGCAAAAAAAATCTAGGTTTTTTTATAAAGTTGGACCGATTCACGATTTCGAATTTTTTTTTTTTTTTTTTTTTTTTTTTTGGGGCACTAGTCTTCTCAAAACATTACAACAACATGACTGAAGTAACATTCTCTTTAAAGTAACTTGAAAAACCATCTGGTTAAGGAACATTGTATTTTTAATGTCTATGTCATACAAAAATCGGTCAAGATGTAAATAAATGTAAAACAAATTCATGAGTTAAATAGCGTTGCTCAAGATTTGATTAAGAAATATTTGTGTTAATATTGCAGTTGCAGGAATACAGAGGTATTTTTTGCAAGTTTTGCTGAGCCTAGGAAAGATTGGCTGTCAGCTCGGCTTTGGTTTTGTCTTTGGTTGAATGAAAGGTTGTAATGCTGCTGCCTTTTTCTTAAAAAGATGCAGTGGAAGGACTGAACATGGAAACTGTAAAGCCTAATTTAACCCAATGTGTGAAGTTGTGGTCGTATAGCAGGAGCAAATACAAGCACCAGATGTGTGTCTAATATAAAAATATATTTAATCTATTTTTCTT